ATAATTAGTACTCTATTTTACTCTAAAATTTCCTAAAATACCCACACACCGTTACTAATTCCGTTAAAATTTTAAGAATTATCGTTAGTTCACCGTTAACTTACTAATTGATTTTAATAAAAAAAGGTCTTAGGTTCGAACCTCATCCCAATCAAAGTTGGCATAATTAGTACTCTATTTTACTCTTATTAAATTATATAAATAATAATTTAGTAGTTACAACGAAAAATAATACATATGCATTTCTTTAATTTAGAATTATGTGTCCACAATGTCTTTATTCAAAAAAAAAAAATATTCATTATCAATAAATTAAATAAGAGAAATAATTTTATTAGTTATATTGTCTTTATTTTTCTTCAATATAAAAATTATTTATGTTCAAATTTATTAATTGATTATATTCGCTACACTATCCTTACAATGTCTTTATTCAGTGGAAAAAAAATTATTAATTATCAATAAATTAATTAAAAGAAATATTTTCATTAGTTATATTGTCTTTATTTTTCTCAAATGTAAAAATTTTTACATTCAAATTCATCAATTGATTATATTCACTACATTATCTATTATCTTTTTTGTGCACTATTTTTCTAATTAAATATCAAAGTTATAATACAAAATAATGCTATATATTTATTTACCAAGTATTTTATTAATACCATGAAAAAATTAAAAAAATATATAATTAATAAAGCCAACCATATTAACTACTTGAGAGATTTTGTGACAAAGAAAGTATTCAAATCACACAACAAATTGAAGTGAGAACTACCTCGCAATGTCCTTGTTTGACAATCAGCAGTTAGCGGTTAGCGTTAGCGGATTATACTAGCGGATTTGACCAGCGAATTTATTTAATTATTAACATTGGGTAGAAAAAATGACCGCCAAATTATTAAATCAAATGAATGGTTCATATTGTTCAGGTTTTAATTTTTTTCTTTTAAGATTTTATAATTTATCCTTAATTATATGATTATCCATTTAACTTTTCCGCTAATTCACCGTTAGTCTAATTCTAATATTAAAGTCTAATATAGAATTATAACTACACCATTAATCTAATTCTAATATTAAAGCTAAGTCTTAATAGAACTTAACCACAAATCCTAATGTCGGAATCTCCTCAAACAATATTAGTATATATTTAATATTTTATGCCCGAATTTTTATTTGTTTTCCCTTATGTCCCGTATTGGTTTCAACCATACCTATACAATTATTTTATTGACAATTATAATCAATCTTGACTATATTATCTTGCATTTGTAAACTTAGAATTACCTATTTAACCCGCACGGGCTTAGCTCAATGGTTTAGTGAGTAGTATTTGGGAGAAGAGACCAAGGTTTGAACCTCGGCAGCGGCAGTGCGGGAATTATGTCCAAAGTGGGCAGATTCCTTGTGCGTATCAGCATTTGGCCCTGTCTGCTGAACCATTGAGTCACCGTGATTTACAACTTCCTACAATGCTCTGTCGGGTCAGAGTGTGGGGGGCCCTTGGGGTTGGGGACTCAACCGTTGGGAGAAGAATTACCTATTTAAATACGCAAATTCAACCTTCAATTATCTATGCATGAACAATTTCAATATAATCCTGCCTTAATATACTTATTTAAAAAAATGCATTGGGCATTATCCCAATCGCGCAATGCGCGTAAAAAACTAGTACACTAATAAGAGCCCAAGAGAGTTAGGCCTATAATGGGAAGAAAAAATGGCGGTCAAATTTTTTAATCAAATGAATGGCTCAGATTGATCCGATTTTAATTTTTCCTTGAGATTTCCTAATTTATCCTTAATGAATATGATTATCCGTTAACTTTTCCGTTAAATATTATCTTTTCCGTTAGTTTCTGGTAGTTCACCATTAACTTACTCATTGATTTCAATAAGAAAGGTCTTAGGTTCGAACCTCATCCCAATCAAAGTTGGCATAATTAATTAGTACTCTATTTAGAATTATGTGTCTACAATGTCTTTATTCACAACAAATTATTCATTAACAATAAATTAAATAAGACAAATAATTTCATTAGTTATATTGTCTTTATTTTTCTCCAATATAAAAATTCTCTACATTCAAAATTCAAATTCATCAATTGATTATATTCGCTACATTGTCCCTACAATGTCTTTATTAAAAAAATTATTCATTATCAATAAATTAATTAAGAGAAATAATTCCATTAGTTATATTGTCTTTATTTTTCTCCAATGTAAAAATTCTTTACATTCAAATTCATCAATTGATTACATTCACTACATTGTCTATTATCTTTTTTATGTACTATTTTTTAATTAAATATCAAAGTTATAATACAAAATAGTGATATATATTTTTTATATTCACTACATAGTTTCACTTTTTCGATTTGTTGACAAAGAGAGTATTCAAATCACACAACAAATTGAAGTGAGAAACTACCTCGCAATGTCATTGTTTGACAATCAGCAGTTAGCGGTTAGCATTAGCGGATTTGACAAGCGAATTATATCAATGATTGGTAAGAAGATATTTAAGAAAATTAGCACCTAAGGGTATAACAATAATAATAATAATAATAATAATAATAATAATAATAATAATAATAATAATAATAATAATAATAATAATAATAATTGTTTTAATAATAATAATTTTTTTAAAAATACAGATGTGTTTTAGGAAAATCATTCTTAAAAATGCTAAGTGAAAATATTGTAAATTGCAATGTTTATATTTTCTGTGGTTTGAAACAAATTGTTGCTTCAAACTGTTGAATAACCAAAACACTTTCTTTAGTATTTTGATCTTTGGGTTACATCGTATTTTCAATCGTCCAATATATTTGGGTTACATTATAATTAAAATTTTTAAATTTTTACTACATCTAAATTTCTTAAATTATGAATTTCTTTATCTATAATAATTTATTCAACAATAATAGTTGAACTAAATGAACACTTAGCAAAACACCTAAAGGACTGGTACTGTTGATTCATTCATTGATCTTGTATATATGTGCATTCATTAAATATATTAGAACCCTTTGCAACAAAAATACTTGTTACTATTTAAAAACAAATTAGTAACAATTATAATGAATCTCCTATATTACATTGTATTCATATACTATGAATTACATATTTAAACAAACAAATTAAACATTAAATTACTTATGTTGAACTTCTCATGTATAATCTTGGATTGATATACTTTCAAATATTTATTTAATTATAAACATTGGGTAGAAAAAATGACCGTCAAATTATTAAATAAAATGAATAGTTCAGATTGTTCAGATTTTAATTTTTCCTTGAGATTATCTAATTTTCCTTAATTATATGATTATCCAAACCGTTAACTTTTCCATTAAGTACCGTTAATTCACCGTTAGTCTAATTCTAATAGTAAAGTCTAATATAGAATTATAACTACAACATTAATCTAATTCTAATATGAGTAAATACCCAAAATAGTCCCTCGACTATAGTTAAATTCACAAATTGGTCCTCGAGTTTTATATCAACCAATTAAGTCCTTAACTTTGCAATTTTAACACAATTTGGTCATTTGTCTATTTGACCGTTTGTTGACTGCATTTTTTTAGGATATATATGTAATTTCATGATCCATCGTTGGTTTTTTAAGGTTCCGGTTGCATTTCTAGACCGCACTGTTACATTTGAATCCAATGCCGGCGCTGCACCCCATGCCGGAGAGATTATAGCTTTTGATAGATAGATCGCCGAAGTCCCTGGAGTGGCTCTTCGAGAAAGCCGTGACTCCAAGCGATGTAGGCAAGCTGAATCGGCTCAAGATCCCCAAGCAGCAAGCGGAGAAGCACTTCCCCCCTCCGAAACGACGTTGTCACCTCCAAGAGCGTTCTCTAAGCTAAACCGGCTTGTGATCCCCAAGCAGCAAGCGGAGAAACACTTCCCCCTCCGAAACAACGATGTCACCTCCAAGAGCATTCTCTTGAGCTTTGCACGTGAAACTACATATATATCCTCAAAGATCGCGGTCAACAAATGGTCAAATAGATGGAGGACCAAATCGTGTCAAAATTGCAAAGTTAAAGACTTAATTGGTTGAAATTGAAAGTCGATGACCAATTTGTGAATTTAGCTATAGTCGAAGGACCATTTTGGGTATTTACTCTTCTAATATTAAAGTCTTAATAGAACTCTAACCACAAATCCTACTGTCGGAATCTCCTCAAACAATATTAGTATATATTTAATATTTTATGCTTTAATTTTTATTTGTTCTCTCTTATGTCCCGTATTTGATTTCAACCATACCCATTCAATTATTTTATTGACAATTATAAACTATATTATCTTGCATTTGTAAACTTAGAATTACCAATTTAAATACACAAATTCAACATTCAATTATCTATGCATAACCAATTTCAATATAATCTTTCCTTAATATACTTTAAAATACTTAATTAAGAAAAACATTGGGCATTTTCCCAACCGCGCAATGCGCGTAAAAAACTAGTCAAAAGATAAGCTAAATTAGAAATGTAGCTTGGAAAAGCATCATTTGTCCTATCGGTAACATAATTAATTTATCAGTCAATTTTAACTTATTTGACTACTATTGACTATCTAACTAAATTAAACAACAACCAATATAAAGTATCATTTTTAGACCTGTTTGTAATATCTTATTGCTCCAAAACACTTTACAAAAAAATTGCTCAAAACAATTTTTTCGATAAACTTTTTGAAAAAATCATTTTTGCATGTGATCAACTAAAAAGTCATTTTGCATGTAATCAACTAACAACTATTTACCAAACACTTCCTTTTGTCTCAATAATAATAAAGAGTTATCGAAATTGAACAGTAAACTAAAACCAGAGAACTAAAAATACCAATTTTTAGGTCAATGACTAAAAAATGGCAAAACCATTATAACAAATGTGAAATTAGTCCAAACAAATTGTGATTCTTGTTTTTTTTTTTCTTTTTTAATCCCAAGGATTTATCTAAAATCCCTTTTGCAAGGAGAGTATTAATGCAAGACCTAATATCCATATCCCTTTCTCTAGTACAAGTGTGTGTATTATGCCATACAACATTGTGCATGGAAAAGGTAGTAGTTGAAACATGTTACAAAAACAACAATGTCGTTAGAAAATTACAACACGCGCACGCGGGCACACACATACATACATACACATGCAATACAACAATAAATTTGGAATAGCAGTGTTGGACGTTTTCTCATGGCAGTTGTAAGTTGAAAAGTACCTGCACCACATTCAACAATGGATTATGCTTATTGCACTCAGACACTCACAAGTGGAGCAGACCATTAGCAGTAGTAGGTAATGGAGGGGCAACAATTGTGTATCTAATTAGCTATTGTCACGCCAGACTGGATTGTCCTGCCTCGGGTGCAGGAATATCACAATCTTTAGAACAATAGCAAAGCAAAACAAGTTTAAGCATAAGTATTCAAGTTGGCACAGATCATACATTGCAGTGACAAGTATCGAAACCAAAAGAAAAATTGTTCATACGTTTAGTAACACTATCAGAAGACAGATCAGAGACAGGGAATAATTGTCAGAAAAGAAAATGGATACCTGGAGTAATGAAAAGTTAATCCCCGTATGGTCATCTCCAAAGACTCACCAACGAACAGCCAACAGCCTCAACATAGCACCACCCCTCCTCACATGGCTGGATTAATGTCTATGCCCAGACAAGAGGGTGTTAGTTAGGTTGGTGGTTGTTCATAGTTTACAATAGGATATAAGCTGCAAGATTGAGTCATTACCACGTATGAGCAAAATCATAAGTATTAGTTTTTGTTTATGTGGGGACCAAAAATTTGTGTACGCCGGTTGTGTTAATGTAACCTTTGAAACATTTCATCAATAGAACATAACATTTCTGCTGTTTAATAATTTGATGAATAGAGATTCCCTGACAAAAACATAGTGAATACCATGTATATTTGGAAACTAGACATGCAGTCTCTGGGCGTTTTCAACTTCCAACATAGCACGCGCCTGAGTGGGCCATCTCTATCTCTCCCCTTGTCAGCTCCCTTCTATCGCTCTGTGTACACTTTCTCCATCACCGCCACCTGGGTTTACTCTGCTGCCTGCCACTTCACCGTATCCATCTTATAGTCCTGTAAGCTCCATATGCAGCTGGTTTTAGTAGTCTTACACTTATTGACAGGTGGAGGTCTAACGATGGCACCACCTCAAATTAATCGGTTGTCACAAATTTTCTGGCAGTACCGAAGTTGCAGTGTTAGGGGAGAGGAAGTGTACTAGTTCCCATTGGTCTTCCTCTTTTGTAGTCTTCTTCTTACTTCAGTTCCACACTAAAGAAGCTCCCATGAAGATGCAAGTGGAAGCAATCCTAGAACAATACCAGCACCGGAGTTGTCAGCAAAAAGCTCTTCAATAAGGGACTGGCTTCTTCTCTATGGATCCCAGCATTCTCTCCTTGAAAGCATCAAAATCATCCACCTGAGTACATCAGAAAGAGAATTAACGATTATAATCTCTCTCTCAGTTCAGAGTTTTATATAAAAGAAATGAAATTTGAAATTTAAGTTTAGAAACGTTATTTTCATATCACTTGCATGTCAGGGTCTTTGCATCTTTGGCTCATTCTATAAATTTCAATAACTGCTCCTCTGTGATAAAGTTCAGCACAGGCACATGATCCCGGCCAATGATGTTTGCAGCAAGTACTCCTTTACTTGGGGTAACTAGTCTCATTTCCTAGAAGAAATTATTCACAGCAATTAAGGATTTTGATCGCAAGAAGTAAGAAGGATGAATGGAAAATGTAAAAACCTTACAGCATCTTATACATCATGTTCCTAGCCATTCTAGTCATGGAAGCCCCCTTTTGTTTTTGGAAAGACAGGAAAAGTTTAATAATGTAATAAAGGGAACATTGTCCATGGAATAAACACAAACATATGAACTTTTACATTGAGAAAAATCAAGTATGGTGATAAAGGGCAATAAAACTTTTTATACAATCTTTAAAATATCAGGCGACTCACCAATTAACACCCCACACCCTGGAAAAAGAATTTCAAAGAAGAAAAGCTTCCAAGTCATCTGCAAAAATTATTCTACCTTTCTATCTATATGACCACTGAGAATGCTAGAACATAGTTCAGAACAACATTACCAATGTCACACTACAAACTTTGTCCACAGATTACATGAAAAATAATATTGCATATTATAAAATTAAACAAACCAAATGCCTGCACTAACAAGTAACAACATCATATAAATGCATTGGTTAATTGGATATGTAAAGGGAATGTAGAATCACTGTAATTATGCCACAAAGTCCTAATGATCTGACCACATCCTATCTACCATTCAATAATATAACTTGCATGGTCTACTAGGTAATAATGGATACTTTATTTAAATTTTAAAAGATATTTTACAAGAAGCTTCAGCAGTTCAACACTTCAACGCTGTTGATGAATATATGCCTTCACATCATTTGAGATGAAGTTGTTTCAAACAGCAAAAGAAGGATAACTGCCTAAGAACATAAAGTCAGATCTATGTTGCACAGATACGGGAAACAAGAAAATAGGAATCACAAGACACTGAACAGGTGAGGAATCAGGAAAGTACAAATATAAAAAAATATCAGTGTGTTTACAAATATTTTTTCTTTAAATATGCATAAATATGAATGGTTGACTAGTTTCTTTCCAGAAAAAAGCATTTTAAGAATTTTTAAAATTAGGGAAATGGCTTTGAAACATTTTATGAAGTTTCCGTAAATGTAGAGGAAATCTTTTCAAAACATGAAAACGCTAATCCTTAAGGGTTTTTGTGCAACATAGAGTCGGACCATTATCTTCTCTTGTGATGAATAATGCGGCAATTGCTGAAAACCACTTCAACCAGTATTGCAATGTCAACATGATGCTAGTATTTGAAAGTTGAAACATAAAAAAGTCATGAAAGATCTCACAAATATCACATGCATATTCATCGCAACGGAAGATAAATATTCACAAGGACACTTACCAGCTCAAAATTGTGCCAGTTTGGAGAACTTCCACCATCAGCATCACAGCTTCAATCAATACTACACTTGTAGAGCCTGCTCAAGGGCCAAACTGGGAAAAATCAAATCTAACTTAAAAATTGCAAACACTTTAAGAACAATAGTTGTAAATCAAGAACAAGAAAAAAAACATTTGTATACAGGAATTATAGAAAATACCTCTGATGATCAAAGTTGACACTGGTGTGGAGACTGCACCTTCCTTCTCCAAGGACATATCCCCCTTTTTGCTTTAGATCCATAGCAATTTTCTGGATGGATCTCAACAAATTTCCACACCATTGATTCTCAGACTTTCCATATTATTACAAACTTACCCTATTCACCAGCTTTAAGGACCCGCCAGGTCCATCAACTATCTCAAAACTATAATCACTTCTATCATAATTGGCCCTGTTTCTATACAAATAGTCACAAGTAATGTACATGAGAATGTCTAGGAATAGACTCTTTTCTGTCATTCCTTTAGTACAATCAGTATAATCTTGTATCTCAAAAAATGCTCTATCCAATATTTTATATGTTATTTCATCAAACTCTATACCAATCTGGCTCAACTTCTGGCCCCACATCAAAGCTCTCTGTGGGAGCCCTTGCTTGCAAAGTTGAGATAGTAGTAAGTTAGCGGTGACAATATTAGGGATAAATGCCATCTTAAGCAACTTTGCAGCCAAAATCATAGCACGGTCCAGTATATCGTTGCAAGCACCACTCATCATAGTGTTGTATGTAACTGTATTTGGAACTAACCCAGCTGAGACAAGTTCATCCAACATCATGACAGCTCGATTGATCTTCCTACTAGTACAAAAACCATGAAGCCTTATGTTGTAGGTAGTAATATCTGGTTCCCATCCACTAGCAAACAATTTATTCACTAAGTTATCAGCATTAGCCATGTCAAATGCTTTGATAAATCCATCAATCAAAGTATTGTAAGTAACAATATCTGGTTTTACTCCACTTTGTTGCATCTCAATGTAAGTGTCTATGGCTGATTGCATCCTCCCCTGCATACATAACCCTTTAATAATGATGTTAATTGTAAAGGCATCTGGGAAAAGACCCCTCTGTTTCATCTCCTTCTCCAATATCTGAGCTTCATTCAGTTTTCCACTGTTAGAAAAACCAGCAATTAGAGAGTTGTATACAAAATTATTTGGCACAAGTCCCTTCCTTGTCATTTCCAGAAATGCATTATATGCTTCTTCAACAAACCCTGTTTTACATAGTCCATCAATGAATGCAGAAAAAGCAACAGCATCAGGAGCCATACCCATCCTTGCCATCTCTTCCCACAGAATTTGAGCTCCAGCTGTGTCCCCTTTCTTGAAATACCCATCTAACAGAACAGTGAAGGAGATTCTGCTAATAGGGAAGTCCATTGCAATCATCTTGGTCATTAGTTCCTTAGCTTCATGCAGCCTCCCTGTGGTACACAAGCACATAAGTAGACTAGCGCATGTGGAAGCTGAAGGTGTTTGACCAAATTTTACCATAATATTATAAATCTCAAATGCATTGTCTTCTAATCCCACTCTGCTATAAGCAGCAATAATGGAATTAAATGCAATTACACTAAGAGGTATTCCCCTTTCAAGCATAGTATGCAACAGTTCTACAGCCTCATCCAACCTTTCAGCCCAACACAATCCAGCAATGTATACATCAGTTAATGAACAATCTGGAATTAGTTCCATCATAATTAGATCTCTTAACAGTCTGTCTGCATGCTCTTCCCTCCTATACTTGTAGTACCCTGCCACCAAAGTGTTGACAGTTATACCATCTGGAACAACTCCTTTCTTTATCATTTCTTCAAAAAGGGCATTTGCTTGATCAATTTCCCTTGCTTTAACATAGCCATCCATCAAGGCATTATATATTTCAGTGTTTGCAGAGACACCAATTTCTTGCATTCCATCAAAGATTTTCCTTGCTTCAATAATGTTGCCCTCCTTACACAAAGCATTGACAATGGTACCAAAAGTAATGCTGCTAGGATTACACCCGTGTTTAATCATCAAATGCAACCAATTAAATGCATCAGAAGTCCAACCCTTCATACAGTAAGCATTTATCAAAATGTTGTAAGTTATGGCATCTGGTTCACATCCAAACTTTCTCATTAAATGTAACAAACTCTCTCCAATTTGAAGACACCCACTTTTACAAAACCCAAGAATCATCACATTATATACATAAAGGTTAGGACAAGGCCCTTTATGCAACATATCACGAAATAACTTCCACACACTACCGTAATCTCTGAACCTAAGCAATAATTTAAACAGAATGCTTACTGCTGACAAACTTGGCTGTGCTCCAGCCTCCCTCATCATACTCAAAATCTTCAAAGCTCCAGGAATCATTTCTGCGCTCAAAAATGCCCGCATTAATGAATCAAGTACTGAATAATCTGACTCATATAAATTATGCTCTCTCCACATGAATTCCACAACTTCATCACTCCTGGATTTCCCAATCCTCCTAATTATCCAAGAAAGCACATCCTGTGCCATCAATCTCAGTTGCATAGCAGCCAATAGATGCGCAGCAATGCAGCCTGATTGCACCATACCCTCGGAGTAATCTTGAAATACATATTTGAAGAATGAAACTGCAACTCCCCGGTTATCGAATGATTTCATAATTTCTGCAAGATAGTATGGGCAAAACTGACTAGAAAATGCATTCAAAAGATACGCATTTTCTTGTTTGATTATTTTCGATAACCCTACAAGGATTCTACGCCTCTCATTTGAAGTAATTACAGTATAATTTTCAGTGATTGACAAATTTTTGAAAGGGGAAAACTGTTGAAGAGAATCAAAATTTCTATCAGAAAAATGCGATGTTGAGCAGTAAACTGAGCTGTCAGAAGAGAAGGAGGCGAAATGTGAAACTCGGGATTTGTAGAGAAGGGAAAGAATGTACAGAGGAGATGTGTTTGATATGGAAAGAAGTGAGCTTTGGTGACAGGCCTTAAACGCACAATGCACGCGACGCACAGTAGCACACATCCGGAAATTCGCCGGAGCTCCCGTCGGTGACGGAGGGCGTTACGGCAGACGCGATTGTAGAGGGACTAAGGAAACACAATTACGACATTCAAACTGGAGAAGGACGCTTCGAATGGGTTCTTCCAAGGTCCAGACTGGACTTGCCGACGGAGACTCTGTAGCTGAACAGGGAGGAAGGTGAAATCTCAGCGGTCTCCACACACCAGTGCCACCATGTCCACCATGAAAGTCTGAAAGTACACCTGAATTTACCCTAGGTGGGCCGCGGGCTCGAACTGAAGAAATGGCTGGGCTTGAACTCATGACAATGATGAGTTGTTGGACTTTAGAGTTTTGGTCCAACACAATCCAATGATAGATAAATAAATCTAACAAATTATATCATGCACCAGGGCGCATAATGCATTGTGCGTCCTGACCCAAAACGATGTTGTTTCTATAAATTGAGAGTGTTGATGCGACAGACACTATTCTGTCCATCCAATTCTGTTATAGTTTTATTTTTATTGTTTTTTGTTTATGTGTATTATGTTAAGAGCTTATATGTATTATGTTAAAAGTTATGTGTAAGACTGTACATCGGACGGTTCGGGTGGGCAATTGGCTAATTCGCACGAATTTCGGTTTGATGAAATTAAAACCGATCCTTACTTATTATTTATTAAATCTTTCAATTTTGGTCGGATTAGTCGGATATCCGACTAATGTTCGGATTAGGCAAAATAGAAATAAGAAAAAAAAAATTTGAAAATTTAAAGTAAATTCAATTAAAAACTAAAGCTAAATTCTAATAGGGGTGTATTCAATCATGACTTTCATAGAGTTTTAAAGACTTTTATGAACTTTAAAAGTTTAGGGGTATTCAATTCATACTTTTAGAGAGTCTTTAAAAGTCAGGCGGTATTCAATCAAAATTTTTAAAGAGTCTTTAAAAGTTGTGTGGTATTCAATTAAGACTTTTAGAGAGTCTTTAAAAGTCACGTGGTATTCAAAAAGTTATGAACTTTTGTAAACTTTTTAATTTTAAGACTTTTGTAGACTTTTTCTTCTCAAATATAAATAGTTGAAATCCAACCATCAACCCCCAGATTTCAAAATTTTCTTTCTAACAACTTTGAATGTTTTCTCTCTCTATTTAAACTCTATTTTTTCTCCCAATTTAAACTTTATAAACCTATCTAAATTTAATAAAAAAAAAATTTTTCATTATCCTATATTTTCCTCATACCTAAACTCTACCAATGTTTCTCTCTCTCCTAAACTTTACAACCTTCCTCGAAAAATTTGAAATAATATTATTTTACTTCATTATTGCTTGTTTATATTGATTTTTATTTTTTCTATGAATTTTTTATCCCTAACTTTCTATAATTCTCCCTAAATACATGAACAAATCAAATTTTAGTATATGTTTCATAATTTTTATTCTTTTTATGTTTATAATATTCGTAATATATATTTTTTTCTTTTTTTTTTAACAAGTTACTACGAATATCGAATTACTGTTCGCAACAATAATTTGGGGTTACAAACAGTAACACCTTGTTGTTGTTCGCATTCTCAAATTGTTATTGCAAATAATAGTTCTTTGCGTGATGCCTAGGAATATATATATATATATATATATATATATATATATATATATATATATATATATATATATAAAGTTGATAAAAGTCTATGAATGTTTTTTATATAGACTTTTATAGAGTCTTATAAAGTTTTAAAAAGTTTTGAACGACTCTATGAAAGTCAATCAAAGTTTATTAAAATCTATCATTTTAAAAGTCTTTAAAACTCTACAAAAGTCATGATTGAATACACCCCCTAAAACTAGTGTACACAAGTACATTGTACACATTAGTGACATTACAATTTACTTATTCACATGACAAAAATCACAAAATGTCATACCAAAAATCCAAAAAGAATGATTTACAGTTTGTACTTCACAAAAATATAGAATTGAGGATCCACATGGAGATTTGCACAATTCAATCGAGCATTCCAGCATGCAGAATTGTAGATATCATGAAAAAGTCATCCTGAATTCCTGACCCTACTCTAAAATACTCCTAGAGTTATATAGACTGCTATTCTTCTCCATGTTAAAACTTAGTGAAAATTAGTAAAGGAAACAATCAACAATAATAATTACTTAACACATGATAATATGAGATAATGAAGTTGGCTCAGTAAGCATTTTTGTCCATATCAATGTATGATTAAGGGCAAATTGCTTCAATGTCACCATGAACATTCAGCAACATACCAGCTTAATCCATATTTCAAATCATTGGTAGAAGATTCATCATTGCCATAATATATCTAAAACTCAAAAGGCAGCAACTTTACCAACTTACAAGTTAGTAAGCTACCAAGCCTCTAAAGTCTAAACAGAACCATTACTAATTTACAAGATTTCAGAGCAGTGGTTAGAGGCCAAAAACTCATCAAGGGCAACAACTTATAAGTTTGACTTTGAAGTTACAACATCAGAATATAAAGTCAGTTGAATACTTGAATATAAGATTAAGATATTAAGATATCATATAAAGTATAGAGATTAGAGAGATTGGAGAAAACAATTACAGGAATTGTTGAAAGTGTAGAACTACCAGTCCTCCCACCAGATGTACTTCCACCATCAACACTAAATTCTGCAATAAATCAAATAAGTAGAAGATTGTTAGAAATTTAGTTGAATGAAATAAACTTAAATTGAAAGATTGAATTCATACATTAATTTACCTTTCTCAAATCGTTCTAATTATTCTAGATTTTCCTCAATTGAAATGGGGGTATTTGGCAGCCTAAGCCAATCGTGAGTACATACCAAGGCTTCCATAATTTTAGGAGTTAAAGAACTCCTAAAAAGATCTAAAACCCTCTCAGATGTACTAAAGGCAAACTCAGAGGCAACAGTTGAGATAAGTATAGCTAAGATATCCCTACCAAGCTTAGAAAGGATAGGAAATCTTTCAGAATTGACTTTCCACCATCTGAGTATATCAAATGAACCTTCCTCTTCAGCTATTGCCTCAGTCAAATAATATTCCAACTTAGTTTTTTTTTTTCCTCTCACCACTTTCCATTCTTTGTTTCTTAATTTGGGACTTCAACAGATGTTGTGGCCTCCCAACAGGGGCAAAAACAGACTCACTAACAGAAGTTACAGAACCAAAACCAGTAGCTGGGACAACAGTAGGAATATAACTCACAACATAATCATCCAACAATTCATTCAAAGCAGCCAACAATTTCTCAAGGTAATCTTTTCCTTTCACCTCACCATACATATGAATTAATTGAGTTGACATATATTCTAACTTGTCCCTGGGGTCTAAAATGTTTGCAAAGAAGATCATATAATTCATTTTGTCAATTATCACTCCAATATTTTTCAAATTTTGCTTTCATGTTAGCCCCCATTAGTTTCACATCCCCATCAGCTTCCACCATTCCATTGAAGACACAGTACAGATCAAATATTTCAGAGAAAAAGGTGTTAGCTGTCACATATATATATAAGGACCCTGAAATTATGATGATTATATCATAGAAACATTTCAACAATTCAATCAAGTTGTTCACAGACTCCCAATCCAGAGAATTAGGAATAGAATCACTCATATCAGATTTAAAAGAGTTATCACTGTATTCACACTCTTCAAACACTTTCTGGTATATCAAAGTAGATTGTAACATCAAATAGATGGAATTCCACCTTGTTGGCACATTAAGACACAAGGATGATTTTTGCTCAATTCCAATTAACTCTGCCAAACCCCTAAATTTCTTCAATCTAGCAGGTGAGTTTATGACATATCTAACAACCTCCCTAACCCTCTTTACAACAGTATCACATTCTTTTAGACCATCATGTACCACTAAGTTCAGAATATAGATAATGCATCTCATGTGAAGATACTTACTCTTCACACTAGATGATCCCCAAGACAACACTTTCATTTTTAAAAAATCAAGTGCAGTATCATTTGATGAAGCGTTATCTACTGTCACAGTAAACACATTCCTTAGCCCCCACTCTAGCAAACAACTTTCAAGTGCTTTTGCAATGCACTCACCCTTATGTGATGTAACAGGGACAAAAGAGATAATTTTCTTATGCAGCTTCCACTCCTCATCTATAAAATGTGCAGTTACTACCATGTAATTTATCTTTTAAATAGATGTCCAAGAGTCAGTTGTAATACTGACTCTTTGAGTGTTTCCCCTAAACAAGCACTTTAACTTCAGTTTTTCTTCTTCATAAATGACATGGATGTCCCTATTGATTGTCCACCTAGATGGAATTTTAAACATAGGACAAGCCACTAAAATGAACCTCTTAAACCCTTGCCCCTCAACAAATATAAAGGGAAGTTCATCTATTATAATCATTTCTACCAGGGCTCTCCTAATGGTTTTCTGATTAAATACCCATGTCCCCAACTCTCCCACAGTTGGTTCAGATGCATCACTGCTAGCAACAGCTTGGAATGTCAGAAGGGACTGCCTAGTATCTTTGGAGTGAGGGTTCTTCATACAACTAAGCATGTGGTTCCTTAAAGATGAAGTACCATGTTTTTTTAATTCACATTGATATAACTTTGCACAATAGATACACTTTGCTTGTATAGTAACACCATTACTATTAGAAATCCTTTGAAAATGATCCCAAACTCTTGATCTGGCATCAACCTGTTTCCTTTTCTTTGTAGGAACTTCAGCAGTTGGGAGCACATTCTGTTGAGTATTTTTGTCAACAATTTGGGCTTCCACCACTATTGCTCCTTGAGTAGAAGAATTAGTAGGTTCAGAGCTAGTACTAGGCTCCATCTAAAATGGTGTGGAACATTATCAGTACACATAGTAGGAGATGGGAAACATAATACATAATCTCATACAGTTAACACTTAACAGTCAGCCTTCACATAATTTTCACAGAATCACACTTGACAGCCACTCATACACATATAAACATGTAACACTTAATAGTGTAGCACTAAGAAGTGCAGCAAAATTCCATCAGGCATTCATCAAACTATCAAAGACAACAAAGGTCTCTCATCTCTGAATGCTCATCATATGGACAACAAATAGGCAGTTAGGCACTTATCATGTATTCACACAATCAGCTTCCACATTTCAAAGGCAATATATATCATTATATCCTCTAATCATTATATTTGAGATTTTAAGGGTCCTCGATCAATCCACAAACAAGAAAGAAAACAGAGATCAAAGATCATCAT